CTTCATGAGAAGTGACTCATTGCAGAAGAGTATCCTGACTGAGGAGAGCATCACTGCAGCCGAGTATCCTGACTGAGGAGAGCATCACTGCAGCCGAGTATCCTGACTGAGGAGAGCATTACTGATGATGCATTCCTCTGGGGTCTTGGGCATAATTGCCCGCATCGTTTCCAAGACGGGCCCCTTCTGAAGGACACAGAGGGCTTCGGTGCTCTCGTAGCCTAAGGCGCGAACCCGAGCTCCAGCCAATGGGCTGCATGAGGAACACCATGGAGGTTCTTCCTCACAAAAAATGCTTCTACCTAAGACTGGTATTCTCTTACAATGGTTGCCAGTCATTGTGATTTTAACATCCCACTTTCCCTTTTGATTCTAATTCACATAACGCATTATTAAATATCTATGACACGTTCCCAAGTGTCACACGACGCCACACTTATAATGACACACATAAGCGGCCGGTTACCATTTGTAAAGGGAGCATTCAGCTGAAATCAGCACTGAAATCCCAAGTGCTTCCTATAGCCATTTCTACAGCAAAATGCTTCCACTTCTGGGATTCATAAGCAGCTACAGTGAAAGTGAAGAGACCTGGAATGTTCTCGCTTCCATTCCTCCTCAGACTCTGACCATGCCAGAATGTTCCAGCAGTGAGGGGGTGGAGTACCTGCAGCCCCCCCAGGGCCTCCAGCTGCTCCGTCAGGCGACTCTTGGAGAGCGAGACGTCCCCCTCCAGCCGCTCATACTCCCTCCACGAGCGCTCCAGCTCCTGAAGGGCGTCACCACGTCTAGTGAGCCACTGTCCCCAACTAACAGTGTCTGATAACGACACCAGGATGCCGGCTCTCCTGCAACGCGCTGGTCTCACTTAGCCGGAGGTATAAATAAAAGCAGCTTTAGTTATGCCCTGTTTGCACCCTGATACTGTGGTCATGTGACATGGCATTTATTTGGTGATGTTCCTTCAGTAGCAGATCAGATAGTAACAGAATGCTTTGTGCGCTACACATAAACCATTGGCAGAAATAAAACGTACCAATATACCTGTAAAAATATGTTTTAGCATCTGTATTTGTCATATTTGGGATAGATAAAACATACTGCTTGTCCTGACTGGTATCGGAAACCGTGGTCTGACTAAAGGCTGGGTCATACTTCTCCGTGTGTGTACCAGCGGACGTGTCCATTCGAGGATCTATGACGTTTGACGTCATTGTGGGCCTTCGCGGACGAACACCTGCTGCACTCCAAATTTGTGTCTGCACAGCGATGTACGTGTGGCTCTGGACACACTGTGCACGATCGATTCGCTAGTGTCCGCATTAAATACCAACATGGATGCTTCTGACAAGCGCTGGGGTAGTTTGCAAACTCTACAGACTAATTTGCAAGGTAATAAATACACGTAAAGCTGAAACTCTCTGATTTTTTAAAGCATAGAGAAACTGACACAAACCTCACTGCTGTGGTGTGTGTGCAGGGAATATCAGAATAATAATGAATATTATTATTAAAAATATAAATACAATATGTTGTGTGCATGTGCAAAGTATGCGGCTTGACCAGAGAACTATGCCAGGTGTGTGAGGGCGCGGAGTGAGCAGAGTATGGTGTATGCCAGGTGTGTGTGGGGTGTGGAGTGAGCGGAGTATGGTGTATACCAGGTGTGTGAGGGCGTGGAGTGAGCAGAGTATGGTGTATGCCAGGTGTGTGAGGGCGCGGAGTGAGCAGAGTATGGTGTATGCCAGGTGTGTGTGGGGTGTGGAGTGAGCGGAGTATGGTGTATGCCAGGTGTGTGCGGGGCGTGGAGTGAGCGGAGTATGGTGTATGCCAGGTGTGTGCGGGGCGTGGAGT